GCAACGCTAAAACAATTAGCTCGACACGTCTTAACTATAGGACAATCAAGACAAGCAGTCCCCTCAGATATTCTGACGGTCTAGTGCAACACAAAAGCCGAGTAGGTTATTGAATAACATCAGACGCGGACCCACACCAGGCACATACGCATAGCAGTAAAACGAGAAATGCGAGCGAACAGTACCATCATAAACATGTATTCTTGAACATCCGGGATGAGCCGCGTCTCAGTTAATTGGACTGACGTTTCGGTCATCTTGCTGTGGCCTTCAGAGCTATACAGCTGACACCAAAAACACTTAAACCTTCGGCTAATCCAAAAAAACAAACAACAACTTGATATCCCGCTAAAATCCGGCAAAAATTGAATTACTATATTTCCTAGTAACATGAGCTATGAAAATTCAGTTCTCCACTCCATATGTATATAAATAGGTATTGAATAGATTTGTGCTAGAGAATAGTTTTCAATACAAGATTTATTTAAATAGACATTACTGGGTCCCAGAAGTTGGGCAAAATGCCTTTTTACGTTCTCGTACGTGTACGTGCATACGCAGTGATATACTTGGTATTGAGAGTTATGTAATGCTGCGGGAAATCGATTTCGAGTTTTTAACAAAATACACGTTTCAGGGTCTCCGAATACCAAAATGGTTGAGGGTCCAAAATATTGCTTAGATGATTAGGAGAGCATTAGCAGAAACTGCGACGAGAAGTTCTGTGCATCGCCTTTCTGTGTTCTCGCCAGACGAGGTTCTGAAAAGATGACACATAATTGACGAGATTATCTTTTGCCGTATGAATCATTAAGTATTGAAGAAATTGTCATGGTTTTCTCTGTCTGGACGAAAATAAAACTTTCTCTTTAGGAATTCTAACGACATGTCTTCGAAATGTTCGAATCATATTTCAGCTGTGTTGAGCATTTGAGAAAATGTCTTTAAACTAGAGAATACATCAAAGTGGCATTTATGTCCTGTTATTCAGTTAATTTAGTACATGCCGTTCAAAAGATGTAAAGAAAAAAATTAGGAGTCCTTTTCGAAAATATGGTTTTCGACCGTTTCTGAAAATGCGAAATTTCGAGCTCGTTTTCACAGAAAACGTTTGAGTTGGAGAGGAACTTTAAAAGATATGATTTAATGCACATGTATTCATCAATGCAATTATGGATGCAAATCGCCGGTAATGTAAATATTAACGACTTCAGAGAGATGTAAAAAATACATTTGTGTAATTAAAAAACAAAAGAATAGAGCAAAATGGCGTTTATCATCGGTTACAGTACGTTTCGCACCATCCCTACCTAAAGTTTAAAGAAAACATTTAGAGCCGCTGTTGAGAAGATCTTCCTTTTGATATTTTTTAATATTGCCCATATTTCACACAAAATTGGGTGAAAAATACTGCAATTTTCACAAAATGTACATGACGTGAATAAACATGCAAAACCAATTTTATTTGAAGAACACATCGCTATCTTCAATACTGGAATTGGAAGAAACTAAGCTTTCAAAATTATGCAAAATTTTGGATTTTCGCAATTTCCGAAATTTCGGAGTTCACAGAGGAAATCGCACTTATGCCATCTTTAGGAGAGAATTCACTCTTTTCTTACAAGAATTTATAGAAAAAAACAGCCGTTTTTTGAAAAGTTTAAAAATGTCGCAGATGCTTCATGTAAAGCGGGGGAGACCGGGGCAGGTTGTCACAATTTAGATTTTTAATTTTGAAGAGGCTGTGGTTATGGTTCCTTTTTTCTATTATTAATGCATCCCGTTATATGAACCCTTGACTATATTTTCCCACAAATTGGAAATCATAGCAGCATTTGTTTTGTCAGAAAAAAATGTTCCGTCAGAGATTATTTATTTTTTAGACAACCTGCCCCGACTCCGGGATGGTTGTCACGGCTTCGGTAATTTGAAAAACTAGACATTAATTGGTATGCAAAAATATTTGTATTAAAATAAAAATCAATCTATGATATTGATAAAGCAATAATACATATTAAACACCAATTTTGACAAAAATATTTATTTAAGAGAATATTTAAGAAAATGTCTGATATGAGCCTAGTCCCTTTCAAACAAACTTTCACAATTTTGATATGAATAAAAGATATTTGGTTCAGGGATATATAATTCATGAGCCCACTTCTTACATTCGATACACAGGTTCCAATTTTCCTTAGCTTTTTTGTTAGAAAACGGTCCTAGACGAATTAAACTAAAACCATCATTCTCTTCAGCACTAATTGAAATTTTACGTTTGTCCTGCGTTTTACTTTTATATTTTTTGCATTCTCATTATGTTTAGTTATATTTTAAAGAGACTTTTCTTTGATTTTCTTTTTGCCTTTCCAGCTAATTATTGAAGCTTTTTTTTACTGGTATATCTGTCAAATTGCCGTAACTCGTATAACAAGTAATAACTCGCCGTAACTGCGTGAATTATTTACATTTTTATGAGTATTTTCCTCACTGCTGCAAGCATGATGTCCGGAACGTCTCTTTTAGTCTCTTTTTATACTTTCTACCCATCTTCAACTGAATCAAGCGATAAGAACTACTGAAAATACCTGCCGGGAAAGGTTGTTTCATGTCACAACCATCCACACATTTTTTTGTGACAACTAAGCCCGCAGTCCTTTCGACCAAGAGATGAGCTGGAAACACAAACATTGCAGCTAATCTCATTCTTGCTACATAATATCGTTGTCCAATCGTTATCAAATAATAGTAAATAGTTGAAATCCAGATTTTAGAGAATACAAAGTGAATCATGAGCGTTACCTGTTTCCATAAATGAATATTTAGGTCTGGAAAAACATAAAAACAACAATATCTAGAAAAAATCGCCAGGAACTGGAAACAGCGCTTCTATTGTTGACCTACTGAAACATATTCTCCGAGAATGTATAATTATTTGTCATTAATGACTGTTTATAACTGATCTGAAACCCTTTGTATGACCAGATGAATGGGCAAAGGACTGGAATTAACCCCGAAAAATAAAGCAGCGATATCGGCTTCTTCCTCTGTTGATCGCAGTATTCGAGATATACGTTTCGAGATTGGTTTTCATTAGTCAACTATCTAGAGGCTTCTAAAAATCTACAGGGAAAATGAAAATATCGATGGTATCAAAGGGAAAGGAAGGAAAAGTCTTCTACCCTTAAGCAAAATAGAATTCTAACATGAATCAGTCTCAGCTATCGCTGACTCTCATCTGCAGATGTGAAAAGAGAATTTGGAACTTCATTTCTAGCCATGGGATTGGTCGTCTGGACTTCATAAAAGGCTCTGATACTGGATGCCGCTTCATACTGAAAGGTTTCAAGACGTTTCCCCTCGTTGATACAGAGCTTTAACGATAAGGCATGTGATTGCTATTTGTAGAGTGTATGGAGAAGTTAAATACATGCGATTAGTCCGGTAAAGTGCAGCAACTCGTCGTGGCATGGACTCTACAAGTCGTTGGGAGTCCCCTACAAATATATTGAGCCATACTGCCTATATAGTCCCCCATAACTGCGGAACTAGGTGCAGGATATTGTGCAAGAACAGACCTCTCGATTATGTCACATAAATGTTCGATGGGACTCATGTTGAGTGATCTGGGTGGCTAAATAATTCGCTCGATTATCCAGAACGTTCTTCAAACCAATCGCGAATCATTGTCATCCATCAAATTCTATCGTTTCGGAACATGAAATCCATGATTGCAAATGGCAAACATACAAGATGAAACAAGCTATTGCCAGTCAATGATCGGTTCATTTGGTCCAGAAGACCCAGTCCATTCCATATAAAAACAGCGCAGCCTATTATGGAGCCACAGCCAGCCTGCACAGTGCTTTCCTGAAAACTTGGGTCCTGCGCCACTTTCGAACCCTACAGTCAGCTCTTCCCAACTGAAATCGGAGCTCATCTGACGAAGCCACGGTTTTCCAGTCCACGGTGTCCAATCGATATGACCACGAGCCTTGGAGAGGCGCTAACAAAGTCAGTCGAGTCGGTCTGCTGCCATAGCTCATTAAAGCCAAATTTCGCCGCACGAACCTGACGGATACGTTCGTCGTCCGCCCCACATTCATTTCTGCGGTTATTTCACGCTCTCGGCCGTTAAGTAAGGGCCGACGGCAGCTGCGTTATCCGTGGTGAGAGGTTAAGGGATACTCAATTCCCGAACTATTTTCGAAATGGAATGTCCCACGCATCCATCTCCAACTACCCTCCCGCGTTCAGCCGATTAATTACCGTCGTGCGACCAGAACCACGTGAATCAATTCAGTACAAACGAACACTTGGTCGAATTTGGGCTGGCCCGATAAAGGCCAAGACATCTCAATGAATTCACGAAACTAAACGAAAATTGATTGAAATTACAAACAATTGTTGTCCCACACACTTTTGATTCAATACATTTTGAAGTGATTCCATTCACTGAAACTAAATGCAAAATCAAGCAACGATCCATTTAATATTATACCATAGATAAAAACAAGGGAGTGATATTCGACTTGTGCAACAACTAGCATTGAAATTGATGACTATCAAATATATAAATTCTTTGTTTTTGTTTAATTTTTTGTTTTGTAAATCAAACCAATTTTATTTTTCTTGAGTTCACAAATCTTTAAAAAAAATATTTTAATAATGTTTTGTTTGTAAAAAAATTATGTGTACTACTTTCTCAATATAGTTTTGCTTTGTTTTTTCTCAGCAATCAATTGAGCAGATGCTGGACCCATTCTTGAAACTAAAGAGAAAATGTAACTCCTTGCTAACCATCATATTTAAGTTTGTAGTTCACATATATTGACAGTACCTAGATATACATCTCATAATTTTATGTGCAAATTGAATTATGTGGATTGCCCTCCCTATAAAATTACAATTACTTGAATGAAGTGTAAATTATTACACACTTCTCAATCAAAACAAATGGATTTATATTAAATATTATTACGTAAAATATTTTTTGAACTTACCATGAGTAATTTCATCTGCAAATTCATTCCCAGGCTCTTTGATGTTCTCAGGTTTTGAAACTTTATGTGATGACTTCATTTTCTTCCAATTCACCAGAACAATAGCATCAGATTTACGTTTTGAATTCAAAGTTTTTGATTTTGAGTATTCTTCAGTTTTTGAAACCTTTTCTTCAGAATGTTTATGATGACTATTAATACTATGACCTTCTTTTTTGTGACTGTGGTTATGTTTTTTACTTTCATGGTTTTTCTTCTCACTAACTGATTTGCTTGAACTGTGTTTGTGTTCAGAATGACTACTAGACGAAGTCCTTTCACTATTTTTTTGTTCACTATTCACACTTAATTTGGAATTATGAGTATTGGAGGTAATTTTATTGCTACTATCTTTCCCAGATACACTTTTTTTCTTGTCACTTTCACTCTTTTTCACTTCATTTTCACTTTTCTTCTTTTCACCCAAAGTGTCCCCCTTTTTCTTATCAGATTCACCTTTTTTACGATGTTCACTATGCTTTCTCTCTGCTGATACCTTCTTATCATCACTCCTTTTTTTATCATTTTCATTATGTTCGCTTTTTCTTCTATTATCACTCTTCTTCTTATCACCATCATCTTTCTTCCTATCACTTTCTGTCCTTTTCTTACCGCTACTGGCAGATTCACTTTTTTTGCTATCACTTTTTCTTTTGCTACTGTCTCTTCTTTTATCAGTTTCACTTTCCTTTTTAGTATCCTCTTTCCTATCACTTTCAGTCCGCTTCCTATCCTCACTTTTCTTCCTGTCACTCTCCGATTTTTTTTTACTGTATTCACTTTTGTGTTTTTCAACTTCATTCTTTAATTTCTCAACTGATGATGTTTTTGCATCGGACACTAAATGCTTAATTTGGTCTTCACTGTCACTGTTCTTTCTCTTCTCTGTATCCTCAGAATCACTGCCAATTAACTCCCCATGCAATAAGTCATGAAGTAAGTCTATTTCAGGACTAATATCCAAGTCTGCATTAGCTAAACCTTCCAACTTAGAGATATCAGTTGGAACATACTCTTTGGTAGTTTTATCACAATAGGATGGTTGATATTCAGGTTCTGAATTACTTACTAGACTGGGCTCATATGAAGCATTGTCCACTGCAAACCCACTAGTAGCAAGAGGTTCATAAGTTGGTTCCACAGATGACTCTGACTTTTCTGAGGGTTCATACTCTGCAATGGGCAATTCAGCAGAGTTACTACTAGATGGAACATAGGTGTTTTGTGTAAGGGTCTCAATAGCACTAGGAGTATATTTAAATCCGTTATCTTTCCACCCCTTTACAGGAGCTGGAGAGTATTGGGATGAATCACTAACATTCAGTACACTGTCTGGTTCAATACCTGACACATTACTTGGTTCATAAACCTTGGTGGCTAACGTTGATGAAAACGTAACAGATGATTTACCACTTTCATCAAGTTCTTGGTTCTTCAATTTCTTTTGAATAATACTAGATTCATCAGAACTAGATCTCTTCCGTAATACAGTACTACTTTTGGTTAGACTGGGTGAATATGGAATAGGAATATGACGATTTTTCAGAACAGATATAGGAGTTGGTTTATATGATGGTACCTTTTGTTGTGGTGAAGGTACATTGTACGTCTGTTGTGATGAAGTGGATGCAGCAAGAGGGGGTGCTAGAACTTCTGTAACTTTTGTTACTAAATTACGAGAAACACTTTCCACAGCATTTGATCCACTTGGGCGTGCTAAGGCACTAGGTAAATCTGTTTGCTCTAGAACTTTTCTGACTGCTTCAGAAACTAATTGCTGAAGAATTTCACCATTATCTCCCAAAGATAATGTTGGGTTTACTGTATTTACTGCACTTGCCGGTGACTGAAGAAGTTCAGAAGAGTCTAGAAACAGAAATTCAGCATTAGTAGTAGTAATGCATAATATATTTTTAGTGATTTTAATAAAGAATGTTGAATATAAATTATCATGAAAATTACAAACAACTTCAATGGCACTACTTTTTGATGAATTTTTTGTGTTAAAAAGAAAATTAATAAACTTTAAGATAGTACAAATATTTTTTAATAAACAATAACTTATGGAAAACATCACATTATGAACTACAAATGATATGATTCATACGAAGTTGAGAAAATTACTCACAAATACCAAACATTTCGTTATTGAAAAGGTAATGTTATCAGAAATAAAGATAAAAGATGAAAAGTTATAGCACTTAAAATATAACCCAAGTCAATAGTTAATATGTAAATATAATAAAATGTGCCTAAAATAGCTTATTCAATAAGCAGCACAGCAATAGAAGACAATAAAGAATGATATTACATCACAAGCTGAAATGAAAAAGCAGAAAGAATTATAAATCAAAATTACTATCATTCTCACGAATAGGCACAGCCAAATAATTTTCACATAAGTAAACATATAGATTAAGTGTTCTTAAAATGCGTACACAATTGTTACAACTGCACAGGTATGAACAACAAAACTTGAAGAATTTCTGTATGTTGAATATTTTTCAAAATTGATTGAGACAATCTTCTGTTAAATCCAATATTTGTAGGACAAAATCAAACATTCATGGCTGAGTGCAAAAAAATATCATCATACAAACAATGCCAAACTTAAAAGTCAATTTGAACTTTAAAATTTTGCTTCTTTTATAATTTTTAGTCCAACTTGATTAATTTTCCTTTAATAACTTAAAAACGTACTAAAAAATTGGGAAAAGTACTTGCACACATAATTTCTATCTTCATCACAACTAACATAGAATTTCCAACGAAAATTTAAGACATCTGTTTCTAAACACACTTATCGCACTAGTGGCGCAAGTAAAACAGCAAATTTCAAAAACGTGATTTTATTTTAGGTTATTTCACATATAATTAAATGCAATTCTAAGTTAAGGAAGACAAATTTTTCCAATAAATATAGTAGGTCTGTTAAAACAGATCCTTTTTAAGGTATTCACAAAATAACATACACAAGATGCACCTGCAAAAAACAGGCTATTGAATTCATCAAATTGTCCAATGGGGAGTAACATAATAAATCGACAATTAACTCTGATCACTTAAACACCAGGAAATCTCCAAATAATTTAACAATATATGCAAACTTCCATGAAACCTTGAACTTTAGTATTAGACTTCGATAAGTAATTGTTGGTAATGCTGAGTCCTACTGTCACATATGAATTTGGGTAAGAAATTAATATAAGAAAAATGTAATGTTCATAAAAATTCCTTCTCACATTACATTTGGAATACATTTTTCATAACAAACAGAAACGCACGTTTTTGTTTACGAAAACACTCGTCACTCTGAAATGTTATTTTGCAACATAGCATTTAAGGGCAACATTGCATACAAAGACAACATTGCAAATACAGGATTGAGGTTATGTTCCTATACACACTGTAAAATGTAATATTGGCACTACCTTCAAGCAGAGAACGAAGATTTAAATTTTCCCAAAGAATGTTGCATGAACACCTTTAAAACAGTTACCTTTTTTGACGTGCCGAAAATGGCAGTAAGGTCGCTCACAAAGGCCACTGTCAAAAAACGGGCAATTGATTTCTTTAAATTTTCCAGTGGACGGTAACATTATCAATTAACCAGTACAATATTATGTCTTCGAAGCTGTTATCTCCACATAATTCTGATTGAGCATGGTGACAAAATCAAAATATTCATATTGTCCCCCGATGTTCATTATCAAACATCACGCTCACTCACAGCGGTTCCCGAACAACTCGTGTACTCAAAGAATATAAATGTGTGGTTGCATGTAAGCACGAGACCAAGCGCCGTCTAGTGCAGGGTCACTGAACTTTTTAAAGGCAATAACTCGGCAAACAGTTTGCAAAAAGACCCGCCAAGGTAGGCAATTGAAAAGTCAAAAACTCATACTGTATACCTGGAGGAATAGAGTAATTTTATAAACTCACTTGCCGTTTGTTCCTCGAGGTCCTCCAAATAAAAACTTTTAGAAATAATTTAGTTCATTCTTTCGAATTTCTTGGTTCAACACGAAGTTAACTCAAGAAAACGGGGAAATGCAATAGCTTCGACGTTTTGCAAGTGTTTTTCTTATCTAAAGGCAGCAACGTTTCGTCACTGCTCTGTGTCCAAATTTTTCGTATATTTCGTATTCGTATATCGTGGACCGCCATTTCGAAATAACATGCAATCAGTCTTGATATTTTTATTTAGTTGGTGACGTAATCTTTTGGTATCTTCCAGTTTGTCTCTACCACTCAATCATCCATAAAAAAAAACATAACGAAAGATCTTCATTGCAGCAGGAAAATAATTTCCATGGATATGGTCTCCTTCACCTAAACCGCACATCGCATGACAAGAAGCCCATACCGTCCCATGTCACGGTGTTTAGTGCGTTTAGTGTAGTGGTTTGGTGTTACGGCGTTTCGAAAGTTCTTGATAATTTTCCTTTCACAAAATATGTTGCAACGATCTCTCGCATGAATTAAAATTTGATGATACATTTTCGCTACGTCGGTCTTTATGAGAATCGTATATCAGCGAAGTCAAGGTATTCATGGAAAATATTGCTCTGCACATTATGTCCTATTGTATTTAAGGATGGCTACAACAGAAGACGTACTTCTACCGTAGCTATGTGACAAAGAATATGATAAAGTGATATGTGATAAAAAGGAATCAAAAGACTGGTGGCACGTTTGTGAAGCTAGACGGATAGAAAGGAGGTAGCTTCGAGTTCCTCTATGTCAGTCATAAATTTCTATTTAGACGATATTAACATAACCTCACTACATACATTCGACGCGCATTTCCGAAGTCAGGTGACTTGGCACATTCATCTTTCGCAATTTACATGAAAAAATATTGAGCCCGCTTACCGCAATAATAATTTCCAATGCATTGTTATGACAAAACACTTATCGTGTACACATACACTCGTACAATCACCTTGCTTTAACTAGCACCCGGTGGCTAATGCCAACATTAGTCAAATGATGTTCGAAATGATCCGGTCATTGACTTTGATATTGCGTTATCCAAATCGACTGGCTAATTTGCTATATTATGGACTTAATTCGTTGAATTGAGAATATAGGGTCAAATAGAATACGTTTCTTTTTTTTAATCCTGTTACTTGGGTAACAGCGACCCAAACCCCTTGTGGCATTGGATGCAAGTACTTCTTGAACATACTTAGTCAGTCTTACGTCAAGTCAATACAAGTTTGTGCCATTGCCTTTTATCTTTATCGGCCAGAGGCTGAGCGCCGTATCTAAGCTTCCCGAGAGGTCACCCGCTGTGATTCGAACTAACTTAACTTCCGTGACTCCACGGAGCTTGGTTAAGAAGTTCAGCTGGCGGCGCCGGCTCAACCATGGGCCACACTGTCGCCAAACCTCTGCTCTCCCCATTGGATCTCGCCCAAGTATCGACGAGTAGTAATTCTAACCAACCCTTCTCGTTTTATTGGTACAAAATTAATACTATACAATTCACACAACAAAATAATTCGTTACAAGCAACATTGAAATATCATCCAATCCGGAAGTTTTCTTGCCCTAATTGGCCTTAGCGTAACATCATCTTCATCAACCATAATATCACTATTTTGGTTACTAGGTTGTGGTACTACAACGTGATCATTTACTTCCTCCAATCAGTCCTGGCGTAATATAGGATGATGGATTGTAGAGTTAGCCTTAAGCAGTCCGTGTATAAGATGCCAACTGTTTCTTCGAACCATTTTGTGTCCTTCTTTTACCATATTATGCATTTGGATGTTCACTAATTGATATCATTTTACTGTACTTACGCATATCTAAAATCCTTACCCTGTTATTTATAAATAAATCTGGTAAATCTATTGATCGAAGTTTTTTCTTAATTTCTAATCTGTTTGTTTTTTGTAGACTTCTCGATTGTATTTCTTCATATTTTTCAAAAGAATCTAATTTACTCGAAAGAATAAGCACTGTATAAATGACTTTTTACGAGAACATCAATTTTGCAGAACTAAAATCATATTTCAGTGGTTTTGACCTACATGTGATCTAAATCCTCGACAATTTTGAGGTCTCCTTTGCTATTTTTTACCACATTATCGACTTGCCCATTACTTTCGCGTATTACGGTGGACTTGTTATACGACACAATACTTATACTTGTTAATCCCTATTCTTCTGCAGATTTGTCAAATCCTGTTCTGAATTGACCCCAATTTTCGCTCCTTAACCTTCAGGAATTCTGAATCGAGCAAAAGTTTCTCTACCCATTCCTACTACTTATTGTTTAGTAACTTGTTTCAAGGGAAATATTTCGAAAACTTTAGAATGATAATCAATAATAATAAAAAACCGTGAGTCTTTTTTGAAAAGATCTGAAGCTATTTTCTGCCATGATCTATTGAAGGTGATTTTATCGTAGTTATTAATTCTAGATTCGATACATTTAGGACAAAACTTGTTCAAATTCTTTATTTGCACCCTCAATCCGATCTCACACGAGATTTATTTTCGTGTAATTTATTTAAAACCATTTCCTGCACTGAATTCAGTATAATTAAAGGGATATTGAATAATATGAAGTCTTCAGCCAAAGAAATATTGTCCCTAGATGTGAATTATGGCCGTTGCTTATTCCGTATTTTGTTTACATACGACCATTTGCTCAAACAATATTTTTCAATTTTGAACATGTTTAATATTATATTCTAATATTTTCTAACATACAATCAGTAGTAGGATATTATCAATGACAAAGTTAGTATATTTAGATGCTTCCAGATCAAAGTTATAATTTGCTTCATGATTAGAGATTGGAATTCGAATTTGGGATTCGATTACGAATCAACTTAGCGGAGAGTTTACCGTTCCAAGAAACTGCAGTCATTTAAATTACCACAGTCGATTCATGCCCACGCGGCATCCAAAACAGTAGCGTGTGCAATAAAATAAATACAATTTTTTACTGAGCTATAATTGATTTCACTTCTGCATAAGGCGGGGGTGTGGCGAGCGTTACGTACTTATTTAGAGGGAATGCAACGCGTCACGGGGGGAGAGGGGTATTCAAAATATTCCAATGTGCATGTACGTAATTTATGGACGGCCCTAAAGCGTCAGATTGCTAATTAGCTGAAACCTTTCGGAAAGTTTCGTGTCTTTACGAATAATTTCTGATTCTGGTTGTGGTTGCATATAAAAAATGCACAAATTGTAGTTACGTCAGTCTGACCATAAGGTAACGACTTCTGCCTTTAATCAGACGGTCCTTTAGCGTCCCATAATCACAACGGTCTTCTACCGTGTTCAACGAAATTTTAAATAAAAAATTATATATGATTATACAAAAATAATTATCAAAACCTACAAGTCGCCGTTTCAACGTTCGGCCCGTCTTGCTTTAAAATTTTCTTTGACTATTTGCCTGCACAATAATAGAGCATGTCCATTATCACCTTGTCCGTTTTTGGTATTAAATTTAGGACTGTCGAAGCTTAGTTGTTACGTTAAATGGTGGTAAACCATGGACCGATCTACAGGTAGGTCCACAGATGTGTGAAGATGCGGCGTTGCCACGTGTAAACTAGAGACTGAACTGGCCGAGCTCATTCAACTTTAACCGACCAGAAGAATGACGGATCTGAGACAAAAGCTTCGACAGATTCGAGACTCGGAGCAGAAAAATAATTGCCTGCTTGAAAACACTTTTGCTGGTTTATGTAGTAGAACAATGTTGCGGATCATTTAGAAACTATGGGAGAAAGTACGTGTTTTAGCAGCATCACTACTTGGTTTTAAAATTTCTTTACACACGTAAACCGACCATTGTGTTTACTTCGAATTTACTGATATTATTTTAAATTTAAACATGTCGTATGGCATTTCTATAGGGAGATAGTTCTTTTTAATGCATAATCCTATACCTTAAATACTTACTCGTAAGCACATTTACTCGTAAATGCAATAATGTGATCAAATCACCGCTAATGCAAATATTATCGACGTGAGAGATATATGAAAAAATTAAATTTGTGGAATGTTTGAAAAAAAAAGCACCGGCAATATGGCCTTTAGTTTTAAAGAAAAAAATTGGAGAATTGGTTTAGGAAACCTTGTTTTTGTTATTTTTTTAATTGCACATATTGCACACAATATTGCGCAAACACTACTCCAATATAAAAAAAATGTGCATGACATTAATGAAAGAACTAATTATGAAGAACAAATTTTATCAAAAGGAAAATCTCTATCTTCAATTTTGTAGTTGTAGAAAGACACCGAAAAAATTCATACTTTTAAAATTTTCGGAAATTCAGTGTTAACTGTGAAAATCGGACCTAAGCCACGTTTATAAGTGTATGCTACTCTATTCTTACAAAAACAGAAAAGAAAAAAATTTGGAGCAGTTTTTGAGAAAATTTTGGACATGCGAGCGGACGGTCATAAGGACGACCGAACAGACGACCATTTGCAGAAAACACCTTTCCGTGTCAGGGGACCCCAAAACGTGTTTCCGCAGCATTACATAACTTTCCCTATACGAGTATTACGGAAAAGTAACTAGTGGTACTACGGAATGGAACTGGCTTTCCCGTATTAGTTTTCTATTTGCATTGGTCTCGGTTAGCTATTCGGACGTGCCACATACTCTTGCCAGTTGCCCCTCCAAAGTAAATCTTTAAAAAAAATTCTTAATTTTTCAACTTCTTAATAGCAGAATCGTATTATTACTATAAAAATATTAAAGAACAGTAAAATCTCGTCCAAATAGAAATTTTCATTGAACATTTTGGAGCCGTTATAAAGAAA